TAGCTGTGGATGTACCCTCTCTAGGTTTTGCTTATAATCACCTCAGTGCAGTTAATTCAAGTGTGTGTGATGTGATGTGACGTGCACATGAGCACATGGAGTGATAGACCGGTGGATTCTGTAGAAGATGCATCATTTGAAATAATTTTTATTTTTTTATAATAATTGAAATGACGTTAGGTATTTTCCGTTGTCCTCAGCTATCACAATAATCACTTAAAGACAAGAAGGCTTGGGCCAGGTGCAGTGGCTCACACCTTTAATCCCATGACTTTGGGAGTCTACAGTGGACAGATTACTTGAGGTAAGACGTTCGAGACCAGCCTGGCCCACATGGTGAAATCTCATGTCTACTAAAAATACAGAAATTATCTGGCTGTGGTAGTGAGCACCTATAATTTCAACTATTGGGAAGCTGAGGCACGAAAATCACTTGAACCCTGGGAGGCACAGTTGCAGTGAGCTGAGATCACACCACCGCACTCCAGCCTGGGTGACAGACTGAGACTCTGCCAAGAAACAAAATGCAAGGATGACAACGGGTTGCATGCCCACCTCTGTGAATATTCAGTGACCTTTTAGGATGCTCCATGTTCCCAGCCATGGACGTCTCTCACTTCTCTCCACTAGGTAAACCACTGTCAATGTAGATGTGAAGCTGTGTCTGTTACTTGGGGGGTTATATTCAAAGCTGGATCTCAGATATCCAGATTCAGGTGTTTTGTTGACAGCTTTATCTATTTGATTTGTGGCTGCTTTCCCAGAGTGTGTGTGAGGCAGTTCTCGCCAAGTCCAGATGTTTCCTCATGGGATAGTGTGTAACTTTACGGCCGAAGACATGGGAAGCATGTAGAACAGTGTTTAGCACATGGGAAGTGTTCAAAACTGTCAGCCATGGCTACTGCTATAATTATGACAGTTTTTTGTTTGTTTGTTTGTTTGTGTGGAGATGCAGTCTTGCTCTGTCACCCAGGCAAGAGCACAGTGGCATGATCTAGGCTCACTGCAACCTCCACCTCCCGGGCATAAGGAATTCTCTTCCTCAGCCTCCCAAGTAGCTGGGATTACAGCCTCCTGCCACCATGCCTAGCTATTTTTTATATTTTTAGTAGAGATGGGGTTTTACCACCTTGACCAGGCAGGTTTTGAACTCCTGATCTCGTGTGCCACTGCTCCCGGCAATCATAACAGTTTTTTTCTTTTTAAATCATAACACCCTTCTACAATTAGATCGTGATAGTTTTTTGATGCTGGCTTTCATTTCTCTATCTCTCTCTGTCTTTTTTTGACGGACTCTCAATCTGTCAACCAGGTGGAGTGCAGTGGTACATTCTCAGTTCATTGCAACTTTTACCTCCCGTGTTCAAACGATTGTCCTGCCTGAGCTTCACAAGTAGCTGGGACTACAGGAGCTCACCACGATGCCCGGCTAATTTTCTGTATTTATACTAGAGACTGGGTTTCACCATGTTAGTCAGTGTGGTCTCAATCTTTTGACCTCACGACTCTCCCACCTCGGCCTCCCAAAGTGTTGGGATTACAGACATGAGCCACCACGCCCAGACTTTTCTTTTTTTCTCTTCTTCTTTTTTTAAGACAAAGTTTGGTTCTTGTCACCCAGGATGGAGTGCAATGGTGCAATCTCAGCTCACTGCATCTTCCACCTGCCGAGTTCAAACAAATCTCCTGCCTCAGGCCCCTGAGTAGGTGGGATTACATGTGCCTGCTACCGTGTCCTGCTAATTTTTGTATTTTTACTACAGATCGGGTTTCACTATATTGACCAGGCTGGTGGCCTCCAACTCCTGACCTCAGTTGATCTGCCCGACTCAGCCTCCCAAAGTGCCGAAATTACAGGCGTGAGCCACTGTGCCCGGCCCTGACTTTGTTTTTTATAAAGTCATTGGACTTTGTTGACTCTGAGACAGTACTTCTATTTTAGCTCATCTTGATAGTGAATATCATGTGTTATGTTTAACAGAATATCTAACATATCTATGGAGAAAACATTGTATTTAGTTTTTATTTATAATTTTTCTTTTCTTTTTTTTAGAGTCACTCTGTCACCCAGGCTGGGGTGCAGTGGTGTAATCTCTGCTAACTGCGATTTCTGCCTTCTGGGTTCACGCTATTCTCCTGCCTCAGCCTCCCGAGTAGCAGTATTAGAGGCGAGTGACACTACGTATGC